CCACTATAAATCTTGGCGAGGATAATGTGCGCGCGCGCGAACATCCTCGTGTGCGGGCACGTACGCGACGGTTATCCGAAAATGCATCTTTTCCAACACTATTATTAAGATTTTCCCTTGATAAAAATATCTATTTATCGTGACAGACGAGCATCATTCATGTTTTAACCCTTCGAGACTGATGGAATAGTTTAAATCCAGCGCGGCTATAATGCCAATTAAAATGCACCGAAAGCTCGCGTAAAAATAATAATAATTTTTTTGCCTCTGCTGCCTCGACGGCGAGAGTAGTTTTTATTCCGTCTATCTCGCCAGTTTTTCGTTGCGCGTCGTCGTATATATCGTGGTTTCTCTCTCTCCGACGCGGACGTAAAGCCAAGTCAAGCCAAAGATGAGAGATAAAAAAGCGACGAGTGTTTATGGTTATGCGCATTCGAGATTATACCATGCATGCGACGCGGCCCGAGCGAAGCTAAAAAAGAAAAGGGTGTAAAAAAGATGAGAAAAAGGAAACTCGAACTCGTCGCCTCTCCGTGTGTGCCGGGAATGTATAAAATCTCGGCGCCTAATTTAAAGACAATTGGCACGTGGCGCGAATATCAAATATAGTTTTCCGCGAAAGCGAAGCCTTCGTAAATCTAATTTCGGAGGCGCGCGGCCGATAAGTGCTCCTGCTTTGATTTTTCGGGAAAATGTGAAAATAGCAAGCTGGCGCAAGTGTGTTTGCGCGCTGTCGGGCTAAGCAAATAGCCGCGCGCTTGCGAAACGGAAGCGGGCAGAAAGGAGCTGCGCACATATAATAGACCGTCTATTTCTCGCGGGTGAGCGAGCGATAAAAGAGAAGGAAGAAATAGCAACAAACAGAGAGGGCCAAAGAGCGAGAGAAATAGGAACGATGAGACGGCAACAAAGCGTCCTTGCTTCGTGGGAAGAATACTCGGCTAAAACCCGAGAGAACGGGATTAACGTCGTCCCTTCGGACACACGCACGCGCCGAACACGAGAAACCTTAAGCAGATTATATTTATAAATCGAACCAAGAATAGAGATGCTGACAATGATAATGACGATGATGGTTTCCATTGATCTTTCACTGTCCGCCCTTGCGGACAAACTTGCGGCGCAAACTTGCTGGCTCGGGCTGTCATTCGATTCATGGCGATTCCAAAAACTACAGACGCGTCACAATGAAAAATGGAATATTCAGCTGCAGTCTGCTGCCGATGCTGCTAATTGGCTCAAGACCAAATGACAGCGTCGCGCAATTAACGTTAATCCCGAGCCGAGCATTAGCGAATGGATCCCAGGACGATGTGCCATTGAGCAGCAGCAGCAGCAGCAGCAGCAAATTCCTCGTGAATAAGTTAGAGACGAGTGACCGCTCCAGTAGAAATTCTGCGTTGCTACGTACACCTAGTATCGCTTCTATGTGGCTCGTACCCTGCTTCTTCTTCCCGACGTCACTTCCCTGGCTTAGATGCGAGGACGACGTGTCGCGAGAGGGTAGGAGGGCGCGCGGCTCCCTTCATTCGAGGCAAGCGCGCTCGCGGATTTGCCCGGGCATTGTGAAAACAGTCGAGTTTTGACAGCGAGGATTCTTCTTTTTGTTTGCTCAGTGCTTTCGTTTGTAGCTCCAAAGCGTTTTTCAAAATCGCGATCGTTTCTATTTCTCTGTTTTGGTTCGTTTTAGATCCGATCAAACGGGAATCCGTGTATTGAAAACTGGTGCGATTCGATTGATTGGTTGTTAGCACGCGGCGATCGAACAAAGGGCATTCCGGACGGATTTGCCAGCAACAAGCCATTATAAAATTCCTACAACTTATTAACGGCGCGAATATCGCGCGTCGGCATGATCGCCAATTTATTCGGCAAAAGCCACACGCGCAGTTAAAACGATACGAAAGCGTCCCCAGATATCAATAGAGAGAGAGAGAGAGCGAATTTAGCGCTCGAATAAACAGCGAGCGCGCGAGTACGCGTCAATTCGAAATGAAATATATGAGGATTTAACGATCGCAACGAGAACTCTGGACAATTAGCATAACAAAATAACAACCTTTCGGCGCTCGCGAGTACGATGCTGCAGCCGCTGCTGCTCTCTCGTGTAATTGAATTTCAGCGGAGCATAATGCAACGGCAGCGAGATCCAATAAAAATTGATATCCAATCCTGTACTCAATTAAGTGCAATTTAGAGACGTAATTTCGCTCTCTCAACAAAACCGCGCGACCCTGAATCTCTGAAAAAAGCGTAGTAGCGATCGATCGCACTACGAGTGGTTCTCTCGCTCGAGTGTGCGTGTCTGCACATACATCTGTTATTTTTGTACACAGAGGCAGTGCCCGTAAATAAATAAAACGCGTTAGTCAATCATAAAGCCCTCTGTTTCGAGTTTCTCTTTTTCTCCCGCTCTCTATACATAATGGATCTCTTTGCGTCAATGTGAATTTTTGTCCGCGAGTGTTTATAACACATGGCTGCGTGCGCACCAGAAGGATAAAGGAGAGCCTGTATTTATTCGCTTAGAGAGAGAGAGAGAGAGAGAGAGAGAGAGAAAGCGGGAGTACGATGTTTGTAATTTCGCGACGGACGTAAATTATTCTTTCTGACTCCACTCTCTCGGCTGTAGCAGCGGGTAAGAGGATTTGTTGACGTCGGACAACTTTCGACGGGTGCACGACTGCACCTTCCAGCCATTGACGCGCGGGATTTTCGACCAACGTACTTCGCATAGTAGTAAGTAGCGCGCGTAGTTTGCAATCGATATAGACAGTCGCGCCGGGGCTCGAGCAACGACTAATCTCTCATTGAACGATCGCATCGCTCGGACAATGCTGCGACGCAAAAAATTAATCATTCGCGTCGCGAGTCGGTAGTTGGAGAGTGGACCGATGAGTCAATTGCGAGTCTATCGCCTTTCTACCTTGCACTCGCTACAATTAAAGCACAACGCTTCTTTTTCCGTCCACCTAGCTACACGTTGTCTCTGCCCATTTGCTTGCTATATAGCTTGCCGCTGTATTGCACGTCTGTCTGCACGGCTTGCTCTTCAATATTCATGAACGAGCTCGCGTACGTGTGTATCGGGTGTATCGTGTGTAGATACGCGACTACGAGTCAAGACGACGAGGCGCTTGTAAGGTATTTTTTAACGAAACCCAACAAAAGAATGACGACGATCATTGACGCGTGGCGGCAAATCGATTAGGCATTTATAAGTAAAACGAGGACGAACGATGGAAATTAATCTGCGCGCAACAATGCCGATTGTCATATTCGCCGACAATGTATAGTTATTTAATTTCCATTAATCATAGCGTCAGAAACCTAATGGCATTTATCCATATTCCAACAATGCGCCCCAAGCTCCACTGGTGCATTTGAATAATACACAGGCGAAGGCAGCAGTCCATATATATACGTGCAAACGAACGCGCGACTCGACGCTGGCTTTCATTTTACTGGCGGGCGACAATTTATGGACGAGGCTCTTTGACCTAGCGTATATTACTCGTAATACGCGAAAATACGGGGGAAAAATCGGCTCGTTTGCCGCGCGTGTCTCAGGTGTGCGCAGGCTGCCGAATTTATACCGCGACACGGATACCTTTGTTGTCGGCGTCGTCAGCCAAGCGTATGTAGGTTGAAATTGGAATCGCGCGAACACACGTATACACATAGACGATACAACCGCCAGCACTTTTGAAATATTCGTCCTCTCAAGCGCTCCACGTTTGCTGCTGGAATTTATTGGCGTCGGCGTCGTGCCACTACTACTACTACTACTACTACTGCCATCAGCAGCGGAGAGAGGGAGAGAGAGAGCCGATATGAAAAAGTTGCTACTCAGAACGTTGGCATATCTAGGGATTAAGGTCTTTTTAAACTGTTTGCCAAAGGTTTTCCTCCTTTCGCTTGATTGCTTTCTGATAGATATATCGCGTATGCAAATCGAATTTTATCTGTTTTCCAACTGACTCGGCTTGCTCGAACAGCTGTCCGTCAAGCGTTTGGCTAAGCATTTGTTGACTTTCAATTATTAGCTTCACATGTTAAGCTGGAGGCGCGTTTGTCTAACGCTAATTGCTCTAGTTACCGATGGCCGCTTAAAAATGCAATAACCAAGAGCTTATATCACTAATGGTCTACAAATCTACGATGATGAGAAGTGCAATGATGATGGTGATTGGGCTTGGTGCGAATGAGAGGTTAAAAGACGAGGCGCAGCACTTGCACGGCTTTTCGATCGTGCAATCAATACGACGGAAAGCCCTCATCGGCAGCGAAAAAAAAAGCCAGCAAATAATCGAGAGAGCTAGGTCTAGCACCTCAATATCAAACGAATGAATCGACCTCATGAAAATAAATTCGACGCGTTGCAGACGGGGCGTTTCATTCTCAGTGCATATTTGAAGAGCTTCTCGCGAGCGAGCGAGCGAGCGAGAGAGGGAGGATGCAAAAAGAAGCTCGCGCGCGGAAGGAGAAAAACTAAAGAGAGAGAGAGAGAGAGAGAGAGAGAGCGAGAGAGAGAGAGAGAGCGAGCGAGCGAGAGGACGGTCGGCGGGCGAGAGCCAATCGTCGGCTTCGATCGTCCCGGGCATGCGCGTGTTTATCCAAGGGGAAAGCCGCGGCGCCTAGGGCGGTGCGCCACTCCAATTGCGTTAGACAATTGACATCCGTACATCCGCCATTTGACCCTCTCTCTCTGGCGCGCGAGCGAGCGACGGAAAGCGCTTCTCAAAAAATTCGTATCTTTGAATATTCAGCTGGAGTCACGTGCCGACGTTTTCCATACTAATCGACATGCTTAGAAGAAAAGCTCGCTGGAAAATATGAAAATTGCAGTCTCGCGCGCGTCTAGTAAAAGAAGATTACTGCAAAGACGATGATAATGGTGGTGATGGTGATGGTGATGATGATGACGATGACGATGATTGCAAGGGGAATTGTTGATGAGAGCGAGGCGAAAGTTAGAATTGTCGTTTGACGGTACATACATATAGGGTGACTGCACCATTAAATGACCAGGCACCAGGGAATGACTGAAAAGAGAAAAGATCATTGTTAGATTTGGTTTTAGCTGGGCGTACGATCGGTTTCGAGCAAATAGGGGAGCAAAGGGGAGCTTTTTTCCGCTGGCAATTCAAGTGCCTTGTCGGCAAGCAAACGACACTATCAGCCAAGGCAGACCAGCGAGAGAGGCGGTCATTACGAAGCTTGCCTTGAAAATTGCTCATTTGGTTGGCCCGAACGTAAATCGCAGTTAAGACGCGCGCGCGCAACTCTTTCCGGAGTATGGTCAGAGCTCGCAGCTGAAAACACTGTCGCGAGACGCACGTACGTTGACGATCAGTATCGTGTGTTGCGAGCATTCGCCACTCTTGCCACTTTGCTCACGCGGCAAGAAAAAGTTTATTCGACGCTCGGCATGAATCCTTAGCGAATGAATCGGCAGGACAATAAACTGGGCGCCCGATATCCCTTCTGACCGATCCATTTTTCTGCCAAATGCCATGGCCTCGCCTGTGATTTAATTTGCTTTTTTCTTCTTTGCTCTCGGCACAAATAGAATAGAGAGCGAGCCAAAAATAAGGTCGCACAAGCAATCGTTGTATATTGTAAATTTTCCAGCCGTTTAAGGACCACACAATATTCCAGTTGGATAAGTTTATGTACGTAAGTCGCCCGTAGCAGCAGCTAAGCGAATATATAACAAAGAATATAGCCTCGGTCAGATAATTCCGTCTTGTGTTTAATGTACTGGACGAGGAAAGAGCTGCAATGGCCTTTTCCCCCTCGGAGGCCATCTAATATGTATTAAAAAGCTGGGCAAACATCGTCGTCGTCGGCTCCTCGCGCAGAGCTCCGTCTCTCCCTCGCTTAATCACATAAAAATATTTTGGTTATCGGGGCGCTCCCCGCCCGCACAAAGGCATATCCTCCTCTCTTTTGTGTGTATTCGGCGTCGGCGTCAGCCCCATGCGCGCGCGCGCGACAGAAAGGGATATTACCGAGAGGACATTTCCGTGTTTTCTCGAAGAATATATGAGGGGAAGGATCGCGTTTCGATCGCCATGGACAGGATTTCTTCTGCTTCTTCTTCGATGGCCTACTTTCATTTTCTTAATGGACGAGCGAGCTATCGATTGTCGGTGTGTCTTACGACGACAAAAAGAAAAAAGGCGGGAGAGAGAAGCTTTGCTCGCTCGTTCGCGGGAGGAATTCCTTATGGGTAGATAGAAGTTTAGCCCCGGGGGAGAGTGGCGCGCGCAAAACTTTCTTTCCACACATACAAGCGCAACGAAAACTTAATTTCGCGAATATAAAGCTTTTTTCCGCTGTCGTTCCAAGTCGGTGCACGTCACTAAACGCATTGCCAACTTCACAATAAACAATAGTTGCCGGCGAGAGGGAGAGAGGGAGCGCGGCGTTTAGCTGTCGAGTGGTCAATTAACTCGCGCGCATTCGGATCTTATCGATCGCGCGCATATATATGGCGCGAGTCAGAAGGGAGCTTTGAGTTTGCCAACGTTGCCTGGGCTACCTGCGCACTGTGTGTAGCGTAATGAACGCGTGTACGCGCGCTCTCGCGCGAAAATTGTTTTGTGCGACAGTGGCCCGAGAGCGAGCGAGATGAGCGATAGCGATCCCCCGTACGACGCCGCGCGCCACTCGCTTTGTAATGACGAAATTGACGCCGAACCCGGGGCTCCGTTATACTGCCCTGGAAAATGCTAACGGCCGTAGCTTCAAACGAGCCGATCAAACTTTAGCGCTGTTACTTCTTTTTGTTGGCGTTCTTGTTGTTTCGCTGCTTTTTGGAGGGGGCCAGCTTATACGTAAAGCGCCGGAGCTTCGTTAAAGCCTCTACAACAATGTTGGATCAGAGATTGCGAATCTCATTATGGAAGCCAATTTTCGGCGCTGCAAATATAAGCAAAGTCATTTTCGGGTATTACCGCTCGCTGCTCTGCACGCCGAGTTCTACTTTTGGCCAAATGCCTGTAGTCGCCTATCTGCCAAAATGTGCTTTTTTGCTTCTTCCTCGGGACGCCCAATTTATAATTTATTGATTTGAAAAAACGTCTTCGCACTGTGACTACTACACCGCTATCGTCAATTCGTAATTCGTTGTCGAAACAAGGGTATACCATCGCAATTACTCAGAGTGTTTTTTCCTCTTTTTTAGATTGGATTGGCCCACCAACCACCACTATTTAGTCAGGGAGACGTAAAAAATTCACGGCTCAAAAAGTTGCAAAGTCACAATATATTCGACGCGAGAGAGCTCGACGACACGTCTCTCTCTCTCTCTCTCTCTCTCTCTCTGTCTCGGCCGCTCGCACGTTGCCCTCAAATAATTAATGAGCGAGCTTAATAGCCTCCGCCCTGGCGTGGAGGAAAAAAAATCCTACAAGTCCTCTCTCCCTCGTCGATGTACATTGTACAATCGCCAGTGAACAACTCAGTGGAAAAAAAAACAGACAGCGACGAGCCAATATCTGTTTTTGCGTCCCCGCAGAATCAACATAATCATCTAATTTCGGGTGGAAACCTCGACACCTTCCCAATTACCCTCGACGAGGAGGCGAGCACCCCTTCGGTATTGTCCTCTGCTCGCAAACCTAGCCCCTGCGCACAGGCGCGCGCACACATGGCGGAGTTCTTCCCTTGAACAATGGCTAGCAGAGAAACGGACGTGAGTCGAGACAGAACGACGCGTTGGATCGGATCGATAGAGTCAATGTTTATACGTCGCGCCCAGGCTCTGCCACGCTCAATTATTGTTATTGCTGCATAATTAATCGGACGCCGCTGCTGGGTTATTATAACATCGTGTCGCGCTAAATCAGTTAATTACCAGTACGACCACAGAAGACTGTGGCCTCTGTATATCGATAGATATACATTTTTGGATACCGCACGCGGGTAATAATTACGCCTCTCTGACATTCGATTCATCGGACAAGGGCGCTCCTGCTACCAAGCGATACCTCTCTAATCGAGTCGCGCGAGATACCTCATCATGCGATCAGTGTTTTAACGCAGCCTAGTCGAGCGCAATCCAATTCCGCCTCTTGCCACATACGAGATTTTCCTCCTTCCCAGTTGTGTGCGAGCAATTTCATTTCCTCGTGGGACTTTTCAGTGAAGGAGGGATAGAGAGAGAGAGAGAGAGAGAGAGAGAGAGAGAGAGAGAGAGAGAGAGAGAGAGAGAGAGAGCTGATATTAAAAGCACTTTTATTGAGTGCAGACGTGAGTAAGTGTCTGCCACCCGGAGGAATTCCAGATCTTATCCGAAATTCCCACAGATTCCGCCCGCCCGTCAGATATCTACCAAATACTCGGATTAGGATTTCCTCGTGCCGCTGCCTCGCGCGCGCTCCAGCAGCTCTAGCTAGCAGAAATGTTACGCGCACCGCGAAAACCCCTTTCCAAATGAAAGCGATAAATACAATTCTATATGCAAACATGCTGCTGCGCGTTTATTCCGCCTGAAAATAGCTTAGCCGCGTGGATTTTTTTCTTCTTTCTCGATTCTTTTTATTCTCATTCTCGTCGAGCCACAGTTTTTATTGGCGACATTTCCGAATCTGAGAAACGTGTTGTGCTGCGATTTGATTATTGCGGTGCCCTGCGTACATTTCCATTTAGAAGAAATAAAGTGGCCAATAAGTTAAGCCCACGACAGAGCTGTAATTTTCAGCCACTCCACGGCCTGTCATTTGTTTCGCGAGGTTTATCGTCAACATGGCTGGCTGCGATTCTTTTACTAAAAAAAGACATAATAACGTCGCTTCGTTTATCTGACTTGTCGAGATCTGATCAAAATGGAAAGCGAATTCTTACAGCTACGTGATTATTGAACAAATCTCTCCTATATGAAGTAACTCGAAACAGTAATCCAATTACCTTGTCGAAGTTACAATGAAAAAACAAGTGCAGAGGAGACAAAGCATTGTTGCATGGGCGTTGAGCGAGTGTAAAGCCGTTGAAAAGAAAAGGCTAAACCGTGTCATACGTATATATACATTCCGGAACAACGCGCGTCGCTAATGCACCGGCACCGACGTCCAGTGCTGTACCGCATTTCAGGAATGCACAACGTGCTTTTTGACGGCTCGCGTCATTAGCAACGTATGGCCGCAGAGTTGATTTGGCTTTTGTTGTGCGTATGTGTATGGTAAAGTCTTCCCTATAGTATTGAAAAGCAGCGCGGTGTGATCGATTCGAAATTCAAGAGCTTTGGCAATCAGCGAAATGACGGGTGTAATACACAGGGATAATGTGCATGGCAATTGCAAAATCAAACTATTTTGCATAAACGTGGTCGTTTGGCGCACACCAGGATTGGAGCATTAACTTAATGGATAATTAGTTGCGGTGAAGCTTTCGTACCATTTGATTATCTGGTCAAGCGCGAGTAGTTTGCCATTCGCGCGCTAATGTTTGGCAATTTACAACAACATATTGATTCCAGAGTTTCTACGGTGCCACGCTGAATTTCATCCTCATTGTTTTCGTCTTTGCAGTGCTAGTGAAAAGAACCATACGAAAGCCTGCCAAGTGAAAAGGATCCGACGTGAAAAACCTAATTATATCCTTTGTAATCATGCATCAGTGAATTCTTTGACTGCACTTCTCTCTCTCAAGAGGGAGAGAGAGAGAGAGAGAGAGAGAGAGAGAGAGAGAGAGAGAGAGGAGGAGGAAAGCGGGCTATTGACGTTAGTTTTCATTTATACGACATCTTTTCACATAAAAAAGAGCAAACAATTACATTGCAAGCGCGTTATTACGATTTCTACGGGGCAATAAATAACGAACACAGCGATCTCTCTTCCTTTGATGAGGCAAGTCGGTGGCACGAAATTAAATAAAGTCATTCGGGTAATTTGACTGTGATTGTACAACGGCAAGCTGCAATATGGCGGTGCGAGCGCGAGAATGAGGATAAATTTAACGACACGCGAATTCAAAGGTCTCGGGGGCCGTTAGTAACAATTAACGCTTGGGCTTTTGCATTATCGACGCGCAGGCCGCGCGAGTCGTATACGTACTGTCGGGGATGAGAGAAAAGGAAAAAAAAAACACATAAAAATAGCCGAGGGCATCGATCGATGCTCCTCTCTTTTCTCGCGGATGCGTATTTTTAATTTTGATTCCCTCCGGCGCAAGAGCAAACCGAGGAACTGTTATCGTTATTATTGCGGCGTGATTTCGCGAAATATACAAAACACGAAAAAAAAGCACTTTATCATGAATATGCGATGGCCTCTCGTAGCATTACGGCGTGAAATTATAATTCCGATGAATATACATATATATATAAAAGAGAAGGAGCGAGCTTTTTTCCTTCTCCCTCGCTGCTCGCGGTTTTACGCCACCCTCCTTCCGATAGAAGCGTAGCAGTCGATTAAAATTTCATCGTTACGCTCCTACACACACTCGCGCGCGCGCGTACGTATAATGTGTTCAGAAACAATGTCGTACATGCGTTTTCGCTCGTGCACGCAGGTATAGCACAAATATTATTAGACAATCCGCGAGTCAAAAAGCGCTGCGTCGACCGATGGAAATTTATTTGTCTTGACATTTCTCGTGCCGCCGCGAGGCTTGCATCTCCTTTCCATAGCGGCCTCATCTGCCTGCTCCGTTCGTACACGTATATTGACTTATGTTTGTGTTCTCAAGCGCAGCTGGATAAGTTTCTCGGAAAGGGGCGATAGCTATCCGACCTCTTGAGTATTTCTACTTTTCCACGGGTTTTTCTCCGGACCTCCGAGTGTCTCTACGCGCGTCGACATGCCAGACAGAGTAGCTGCGTCACTTTTCAAGCGCAACAGATATCGATCCAATTTGCGCTATATACCGAATTTAATAGGGTCAACGCACTCTCCCTCTTTCCATCTCTCTGTCGCGCGGCTGTGCGAACTTGTTCGACAGAGGATATCCTCATCATCGCACTGCTGCTAGGCCGTCGTCGTAGTCGCGTCGATCGATCGAAGAAAACCACGTAGGCGATACGTGCGCGCACACACGCGCGCGCGTGATTGGCGCAACGGCAATTTAATGCTTCCGATAGATTCTTGCGGTTTGGATATTACTACTATGCGCGACTATATATAAAACTGTTGGGGAGTGGGAGCTCGCAGCGCGACGGCACATAGTACATCATCGACCATGGCGCGAGCGAGCGATCTGTAATTTGCCCTGGGTGAATTATAACTTTGTTACGTGCAGGCAAAGCAAGCGCGAGCGGGAGAGTGCGCCGCGAGTTTATAGCCTTGCCCCCCGCGAGCTGCGAAAAAGGACTCTTCCATCGCGGAGAGAGAGACGGAGCGCGCTCGCTCGGCAATGTCCATGTCCGCGGAGGAGCTGCTAGCACGCGAACCGCAAGCGCGAGCTTGACGGCAAAAACAGACGGCAGGCTCACCTGACGTGCCTCCTGGGTAGCGGCGGTGGCACGGGGTTGTGGTAGTTGTCCATCATCGCGTAGGCGTCCCGATCAGCTTGCTCGGCCGCTGCTTGCTGCGCCTTCTGCTGCTGTTGCTGCTGCTGCTGCTGCTGCTCGTAGTTGTCGAGCTGGTCGAGCCTCAACAACTCGGCGTCCCGAGGCGAATGCAACTCGCAGTGCGCGACGTGCAGCAGCGGCCTCAGGCTGGAGCCACCCTCGCCTCGTTGAACCTGAGCCTGCGACGATGGCGAGTGCTGCTGTTGACTCGGGTTTGCACGCGACGAAGGTGGCTCTTCCTGCGGCTGCAAGGAGGCTTCTAAGCCATTTGCGAGCCGATACTGGTGCTCCTCGCCCCAGATTTCGAATTCGCCGGCTGCGGAGTAATCGGCGAACTGGCCGCCGCCGGATGATTCCAAGGCTTTGCTGCGGGCGAGGCTCGAGGAAGTCGAGCTCGCCCCAGCTCGATCCTCCTTCCTCCTTTTGCGGCTTATTTTGCCGGTCGATCTTTATCGGACCAGAGATGCCTCTCTCGCGCCTTTGATTATCTCTCCCGTTTCCCTTTCACCGTCCTTCGCCGACACTCCTCATCTTTCTCACCGTCCACACTCTCTCGCACTGGTCCAACAGTTATCCCTCCTCTCTACCGACGATGCTCTCGACGCGACGACCGGCGCGCTATCGCGTACTTATCGCGTTCCCTGCCTATCACAAGAGGAGCAGTAGTCACGACGCAGAACACAGAGGACGATGCGTAAGCTACTGATGCTCGCGCGCGACTGCGACACCCGGCACAAAGTGACACTGGCGAAGGAGAGAGAGAGAGAGCGAGCGAGAGAGAGAGAGAGAGAGAGAGAGAGAGAGAGAGAGAGAGAGGCTGCTGCTGCTGCTGCTGCTCCCCACTTTCGTTGCGAGAGAGCGCCTGCGCGCCAAACAACGTTGCGCTGGCTGCAGGAGAAAGAGCGAGGTCAGCCGGAGCGGCCTCTGCCAAGGGGCTAACGCACTATGTCCCGCAAACCTCTCCCTTTCTCGCGCTCGCGCCGCTCCGAGCCTCTAGGTATGCGTGTGTATGCGTGCTATGCTATGCGCGGCTGCTTTTTTGCCTATCTCCCTTGCGCCTCGATCGATCACGATGAGCGCGAGCTTCCTTCTCTCTCGGATAACGTAGATCGCGCGGCTCGGGCTTGGACGGGGCCGAAGGAGGGGACTACTTAAAATTCGCTAATCGATGCCGGAGAGAGAGAGAGAGAGAGAGAGAGAGAGAGAGAGAGAGAGAGAGAATTTCCGTCGCGGAATTGGGCCAACGGAGAGGAGCAAATACAAACTGGATTTGTCCGTCGAGAGTGCGTTTGTATACCCCTAATCCTGATGGCAAAGTTACTCGCAAAAGTTTGCAGCTCTGTCTCTGCGGCCGGCTCCGTAGCGTAACGAGGTAAAAAGAGCTAGACTCGGCGCAGGCGCGCCCGAGGATCCTTTTGGCTCGCGCGGGAGGGGTGCCGCGGCAGTGTACGGACGCTCCTGCAGCACACCAGCAGCGCGGGCGCGCGCGCGCACGGACGGGGCATCGATCGACCCTTGGAAATTGTCCTCGTCAACCTACTCCTCTCCTCTCGCCGAGAGCCGGCGCAGGCGCACTCGCCCCCATTATGATTCGCACAACGGAGACTACGCGCGAAATGGCAAAGCCAAAGAAACCGTGAGATATCTTCAACTGCCTCCGCTGCTCCATGTGCGCGCGCTCGAGTTTATCTAGGATGGCTCTCCGCTGCCACCGCTGCAGCAGCAAGGATTTCTTCTCCTTTTTTTCAGAGACAGCGAGAGGCAGATCTGTGTTTTCATTATTGCAGAGTTGCATACTTTTTGACGGGAGGCCGACGACTCTTGACTCTTTCTCGTTTCTCGTGTTTCTTTCTTCTTCTGTTTTTCTCTTTTTTTTCTGCCGTTCTTGTTGTTCGAAGAGAAAGAGATGGGAATTTTCCGAATTGTCTGGCGAGAGCGCGGGAGAAGAGGCTTTAATATTCAGAGTATGCTTCGGTCCACAGACTATTCTTCCATTCCTACTACTTCCTCTTTTTTCGGAAAATTATCTTTTGCTAGGGAGAGAGAGAGTGTAGGGATAGGTTGAGAGTGAGAGAGAGAGGAGTGATTTTTTTTTAATAGAACGCTATGATATTTCCTTAAAGAGGATTTCCACTTTTGTTAAGCGAGCGCGCGAGACAGGAGCTTGTAAGATGGAAATAGAGAGGAAGGAAGGATGAGATTCTTTTCTACGCTGCCGCTGCTGGCTCATGTCAGTTTTTCCTCTTTTCTTGCTTTGCCTTGCCTTGCTTGAGAAAAAATTTCTATGAAGTAGTTGATGAAGTATGCTTGTGTGTGTGTTCTCGCATACGATGCACTCTTCGTGCGCTGTTTTCAATGGTAGATAATTTTGTGGAAAATTTGCGTTCTTACAACGAGAGAAACAAGACTTTTGTAAGAAAAAGCTCTTTCTCGACTCGTAAAAACGTCCAATTAGAGGCGGGAAAAATTGAAGTTCGAAGGGGAGTACGATTTTACGAGAACGTATACAACTATCCGTTTATAAATCCACAGAGCACAGATCGTAAACGAGGTAAAGCAAACTCTCCACGCGGCGGTGGCCCTCGAGAAACTTGTAAAATGAGGCATTACCGAATGTAGGTTAAATTTCGGCGGGTGAGAAAGAGGCCTCTTTTCTCTCTCTCTCTCTCTCTCTCTCTCTCTCCATGCACCGCCCTGAAAATCAAAATACAGGGAAAAAAGTGGTTCACTTTAGCGCGACGACGACCCTCGCCCGAAAGAGCGACGAGAGAGCGACACCCCTTGGCTATGTCGGTGCGGCTCTTCATACATCCGGCACTCTCACCCGATGATTTATCAAAGTCGCAGTAAGTGGAGGAAGATTTCGGAAACTCGTCGCAGCTCCCCCTTTTTTTCTCCTTTTTCACGGCAACCACGCTTTATTCCGCGTGATAATGGCACTCGGCTGTAACTCGATAGAGTGAATCCGAGCGTGCAAAATGACCGATTCGAATTTGTCCCCCTCGGAGAGGCTAAAGAAAAGGTTATATATATTTCTGGATATATATCGTTGGTAATTAGTTTCGATGCAACAAGCTGGGCTTGAATACCGAGCTTTCAAAAAAGGAAGTAGCTGAGTGAAACGCGGTATCGTATTTTGCGTGCGGTAGCCGAGCTTTTTTTACCATTTTGCACAAGCCCCGCAACACTCAACCCCTCCCTCGTTTAACCTAGTTTATTTTCCATATTCTGCTTAGACTTTGATGTTTATCAGCTGGCTGCGCTTCTTTAGTTTGGTTAAAGCTAACCCGAGAGTATTTAATAAGAGTTCACTGCTCTGTGGTTGTGTGAGGGGGGCTGAATTTGTTTGGTAAATTAACTTTCTGTGTACAAAGCCAAAGGGAAATCTGCAATGAAAATTTTATTTTTCGTAAATAATTTTGATAGACCCGCTGTAATGAGAGATTTAGTCGGCAGAAAAATCTATATTTTGCCAACCATATGACGTTTGCAAATAGCTAGGAATGATTGGGTGTACATATATATATATTTATCGATCGCAAGCAGCACTTCTCTTAGCCGTTCTGCAAGCACGCTAAAATATTAATACACACGGCAGTCAATTAATTAAACGTCAAGAGAACAAACCATAGTTTCCAGCAACTCGAAGACGCAATTGCAATGCACACACACATTTGAGCGATTAGTTTGCCACTGCTGCCACTGTACAGTTTCTATATAAACATCTCTCGCTCTAGCTAACAAGCGATAGAAGTCAGCAGGAGTCGGCGTCGCGGCGCGCAACTGTTGCTCGCCGCGCCGCTCAAAATCGCAAAGTCACCCTTTAATTTTTAGCTCTCGCCAAGTTTGCAAACTATAATTCGCGCGAGTTGCTTAGTTAATGCACGTTATGCGCATAGTATTTCAATTAACGACAAGACGCTCCGACGACGGCGACAACGGCGACGACGACGAGGACGACGACGACGACGACCCCTTGAGCGCACTCGAGTATAACACATTCTCGAGTAACGCAATGAAATTCTCATTACCGTAGAGTCTCGGCGTTACAGTGCGTGTAGCTCTCTGTGCATTAGCCTGCGTGCGGTTATTTATTAAAGTGATATTTGCATAAGCTAGGAGTGAACATTGACAATTTGCCGCGAGATTAATCGTTAATGAATTGTAATCAAAGTAAAAACATTGAGCTGGTGCTCATTAGCAATTCTAATTACAACGCAAGTCGCGCGCGCGAAAGTGAAATACAAGTTCGTAATTATAGCGAAGTCGCGAGCGAGAGGGTGAACACTGAAGGATCGATCATTCTTCTTCGCGCGCGCGACCAACTTTTACACGCTCGTCCGTCACCTCGAGTAAACATTGCTCAACGCGCCCGGAACCCATCAGATCCAAATGAGCTGATCATTAAATCAAAGTCGCAGCGACCAGTTTCCCTCCGATAGTTCATTTTGCAGTCTAGCGACAATCCCTTTTCCGAGCTTCCATTTTTTCCCCGTTTCTCTCTTTCTTAACGAACGGTATTCGGCTAAAATATCGCTGGGACAATCAGTAAAAATCGATAGCGCGAGTGGCTTCCGTGTACGTATTGCATCCGAAAGTAGTGAATCTCGAGTATCTGCGCCTTTTAATCCGACTGGCGCCAATTATGAGTACTTTACCTGCCCCTAATTTGCAGATGAATTTTATCTTACTTGTCAATAGCTCTATACGTATATTATAGGTCGAGCGATGCGACTGCCACTTCAATAAAAATGCACTACGCAGATTAATTTTTTTCTGGAAAATCGCTGAAGAGAAAGAAAGAGCATAAATCCCCTCGCTGTTCTTATTTGCGAATACTAAATTTTTTGTTTCATTTTTGCGTACAAGCTCTGTGCGATGAAAATAGGTGCGTCGAGTTTTTCCTATCACAACCCAGTGATAAAAAACAAATGCTTTTTTCAAAAGATACACACATTCGTCCCGTCGTATCATGGACGAGCGATTTGTTTTCAAAGTTGGTTTGTTTTCAAGTTTAGTGCGATCGTTCATTGGTCATTGCGATTACTCACTGAATTGGATTTTGCCGAGCTTTGGTAAAAATAACATTCCTCGCTATTACGTAATTTATGCTAAACGTGCTACATGTCATATGCACATACTGGCGAAAATCAATGACTACGTAATCTCTCTCTCTCTCTCTCTCTCTCTCTGTGCGAGCTTATTAGAATTCTTGCATGAACTTGTAATACGCCTAAAGCAGCTTCGAATGGGTGTACTAACTTTCCTGGCGCTTGGTGCGTGCGTGTGTGGACCTTATTTCACCTCAATTATCGAATACCCAACAATTAGCTATCTGGTTAGCCGCCGCTGCTATTGCTGCTGCCTGCGCGGCCTTCGCCTAATCAGCTCTCCGAGATATCGCATAGCCCGACGGATCATCTATATTACATTGTTGCTTGTACCGCCCTGTGTATTATTGCGCACAGTTGCTGTTATTTCAAGATGTCTCGGTCGCTGTAACCCCAATATTGCTACTATCCGGAATACGAATATTTAACGATAATTGAGGCGTTGCCAGGGATTTCGATATTTCAGAAGATATTCCGAGTAGCTATTGTGTAGTTACCGATTAAACGAACATTTTATATTGTCATTACAAATTTCATTTTTCTGAATATAGTTTCCAATTATATCGACAAAGTAATTTTAGAAAAAACTTCGTT